TGTAAGGCATCGCTCTACTACTCTCCCAGTCGTGAGGCTCAAACCAGTGTAGACTGTGAAATCTATGAGCCAGAGGTAAGGCTTGCTCAGCCATGGTAAAACACACAGTCTCACATTGATCTACTTATTCTATTTACTACTTTCTGTCGTAAAAAGGAAAAAGCACACATTTGATTATTCTTTTTGTTCTTCTATTAACAGTAACTGATGCCTTACTTTCATAGTTTTGGCGATAATTTCTATCATAAAATCGCAGTCACCGAAGTAATTGCTGAGATTAGACAGAAAAATGATCAGACAGGTTGTCTCGCACTGCCTGACTTCTTCAATAAAGTGATGATCTCAGCAGTATTTGTTGTGATAAAATAGTTATCATGCAGAAAGACAACGGCCAGGCATACAAAAATAGGATCCCAGTCATAATTAAGTGGAAGTCTCCTTCACAACTTGCCCCAAAAGACTTAAAGACAGCCTTGCGTTATTCTTAAACAGTTCATTTGATGTATTTAGGGGTGACACGTATCCTAAATTCTACAAATTAAATTGTCCCATATTTTGGGCTACGACACATCACAATATATCTTTATGTGTTCTCCAGGCTGCTGAGGCAGAGAAGAAACGCCACGTGTTGGGCGGAGAGGCCGACCACAGCCATCAGGACACACACGCACACAGCAACGACCATGACGTCATGCACGCTGCCGACGGAGCGCACACACACGACCATGACCACGACCACACCAAGAGCCACGCTCATCACGACGATACCCAGCAGCACGATAACACCACCGAGCACCACCACACACACGACCACGAGGTGGGCAGCGGCCACAGGCACGCTCACGACCACTCCCACGACCACGGGCATGGCCACGACCACGTGCACACTCACCACGCTAAGGCACACAACCACAGCACAGTCTTGACCAACCACCACCACGACTACAAGCACGCCGACAGCGTGCACACCCACGAGCACGACCACGAGCTGGCTCTAGACCACGACCACAAGCACGCTCACCTGCACGTACACGAGCACCACCACCATCACCACGATCACGTCCACGAGGCCACAGCCCACGACCACCCAGAGGGCAAGGTGACGTTTCTGCCCGCCATGGATCAGCCCGTGACCCTGCCTTCCTTCCCTGACATCCCCGGTGGTGACCCTGAGGTGGGAGTCACTCTTCCCCTCAAGCCAGACCCCCAGATCCCCGGACAGATGGAACCCATCATCCAGGCCTTCCCCATGGCGGTCTCAGCCAACTGCGCCCCTGCAGCGGCGGGAGACACCCTGGTGGAGCAAGTCTTCGCTGAGGACCGCACGTTCAAGCCAGCTGCATAAGGTGGCCCATGAATATCATTTGGGAACTGAATGGATCTTAAAACACATAAACACAGACCAAAGTGAAGACAGGAAAATATTTACAGTAACACTTTTGCTTCAGACACATTGATGGACAATGTTACATACCTTTATGGTTAAATATTAACACAAACTTCCTTGTCTCTGTTCACTTCAACCTTCTAATAAAGGCTGAGTGCATAAAAAAAACACGACATTCACATTAACCTTTTTTTTTGGTGGGAAATTGGTCATATATGATCAAATAATAAAATCACTAAACTCCTCAGAGACAAGAGTAAACATTCACAGGGAGGAACTATACAATTCAGCAGGCACACATGAACGTTTTCTGTGTTTGTATGTTGTATGTGCTTGGCTACACCAAAATAAATAAATGACACCACAAATTTGTGTTGATTCACTGCACTTGTCACCGACCTCACTACTGTCGCTGTCGTCAAACATTGTGCCGTGAAAATCATCTTTAACAAGCTCGTGATTACCTGACAAGCAGCGGATGCATTTTCTAAACCACACATTATCATTAAGAAGTGGTTGTTTTATCAATTTGCCAAACATCTTTTCACAGACCTTTTCTTCATAATATCCATGTTCATATGCACCTACAGTACATCATGTAAATAATGCATTTGAAATAATATTCTATTCTTTTTTTAAATAATATTTAAACTAATTCAGAGCATCAAGGGTTTGCATTGCTGCCCGTCTGAGTTTAGCTTCTTTATCTCTTACCTTTTTTTATGTGTACAAGAGAAAAGAGGGATACAAAGCTGAAGCACAAACACGAGAAGGAGGGATAGGCTAAAGGTCAAGTGAATTAGACCACTGATATATTCCATTAAAATGAATCATGGTGTTGTAGCACCACATTAAATTTCATAGGATAACATGGATTTGACATTTGTATATGCAATGGTAGGATATGTTCACAAATCAGTGAAATTTATTGCAGATTGGATGCCGATTAGCGGCTCAAATAAGTTTATGAAATCCTGTTCATAGACAAACATAAGCTCAGAGGCAGAAATGTTTGTTAACCTTTTCTCTAGAACAAACAAACACCCACTCTGTGTACATATTATTCACATCAGTAAAAAGCTCTTATCTGTGTTCTGTAGCCCTTTAACACAGCCCACGCATTACTCACAAAAACATTTTGTAAATTTCAGTGAAATTGTATCTAGGCCAAAGGAAAAAATCTCCAAATAAAATGTGCAATAACTGCACTTGTGTATTAATATGTGCTGATTTATTTGTTATGATCAGCTGAGATCACAGGAGGCTTTCAAGTCTGACATGATAACATAAAGAAGACACAGTGGCCGATCGCATTAATTGTTTAAAAGCTTTTTATTTTGCAGTTTAAAGAAATACTCCAACGGAGACTTAAAAGTTCAAAAGGTCCCAGAAACTTCTCTAACCACTCCTGCATCATAACCTCATACTGTTCTTTTGTATACTCATTTAAATTCTATATTTTACACACAAAAAAAGCCCCAAAATGTCAAAAGACAAATGAGATGGTCATCTCACGAATCTAGTGAGGGTTGTATAAAATGAAAGAAAAGTATACTATTGCTGGTAGTGTACTTGTACTTGTACTTGTACTTGTAAGCTTAATGCTCAGTCACTGTTGTCTGACTGAGTGAATGAAAGATTAAGTGACTATACCACTACTAATACTAATACTATTTGCCCCATGATACAGTGCAGCATGGAAAAAAACGGAGCAATAGCCTATACATCATGTAAGTGAGCACTGGTTTTAGCCTGCCCGCCCCTATAAAAAATGTTTGGCTCCACCAATGTAAGTGCAGTTAGCTGTTTGAATTTGTCGTTTGCACTCAATGTAAGCAGGTCAGTCTGGCAAAGGTCAACAGGTAACTGCTAGCATCAACAGGAAGCTTTGGATTTAGCTACATGTCAAAAATGTGTTTGGAAGATAATTAACATAAATGGACAGTGGAGAAGTGGTTTATGCTGCAATAAGCCGTTTCTACATTTTGATCCTGGTTTTCACCATGTCTTCATAGTTCTTTTGTAACTATCCCCAGTGCACTATGACCCATCAGCCAGTCCGAGCCAGCCATTGGCCTGCAAAGCAGCAGATAGCAACTGTTTGCTCATCCTTTGGGAAAGAGGGGAAAGTCCAGTATCAGCCCCCGTCCAAACCCTGCCTGCAAAAACTAGGATTACAGGTCTTGCAAAGGAAGATTTACAAGCCTGTGTCAGTCTAAATGTTAAATGATCTTCCGGGATAGGCTTTAGTGATTAAATTGGGTAAAATCGGGGGGTTTTATTCGGCCCAATCTGTGTTTGTGTGCATCTGTCTGTGTGCTAGAGGATGAGTGTGTACCTTCTGGTCCTATGTCTGGCTTTGCTGCAGCAGGGGGGGAGAGCCAGGCCAGACCCTCCAGGCTGCAATAGCCCTGAAGCGGTGAGGGTGGCGGAAGAGGCCCTGGAGCAGATCAACCAGGACCGGACAGATGGATACATCCTGAGCCTCAACAGACTGTACGACCTCTCTCACACTCATGGAAAGGTGAGGGCGAACTCTCTCACACACACACACACACACACACACATATGCACACACACAAACATGAACACGGTTCTACGCCATCTTGTATCTTGAAAGATGCAACAGAGTACCAGCAGATGCGCAAAAAATATACATGAAAAGAAACATTGAAATGTGTGTGTGTGTGTGCGTGTGTGTGTCCAGGAGATAAGTGGGTCTTTCTACAAACTGACCATTGATGTCATGGAGACCAGATGCCCCATCACCAGCAGGAAACCATGGAAACAATGTGAAGTGAGAGACATTGGTGCTGTTCCGGTAAGTACCACAGTGTGGTATCTTTACTCTTCAAAGATCAACACAATTGGTGTTTTGTTTTTGTTTAACATTTGCATAATGTTATCTAAGTTGACCTATCAGTTTGGTTTTATATGTTTAGTTGTATATGCTTGTGTCCATCAGGTGTATGGAGAGTGTGAGCTATCGGCCTCTGTTGACTCTCAAGTCAAACTTCACAGCTACTCCTGTGCACGTCGTGAAGGTAGATCAATGGATTCATTTAGAATCCCGTTTCTTTTGTCATTCATTAAATTACACAAAAACACACAAATTATCTGTGATGATGTGTCACAAGCCTATTTTTTTGGCACTTTGCCGCTTAGATTTTGTAAACGTTATTGAGGTGTGAAATGAAAGATGGTGACATACATTGAATTATTTTCTCTATATATGTTCTGCCCCTCCCTAAGGCGAGTAAACAAGTCATCCAACTTTTTCTTCCCCCACAATTTGGCAAAGTGTAGGAGGACATTTTTTTGGGGGGTAAAGCAGAGGGAAGCGAGGAAAGCTGATGATAGCTGAAAGAGTTCACGCTGCAGGATGGAGGTTAAATCCTCAACACACACTTTCAGATACTTTACATTGACCCTTTGGGCCTGTTGATGCTTGTGTTTAGTTCCTGCCACTGCGGTGGTGGATGTGTGTCCGGACTGTCCCACAGCTGAAAACCTCAACGAGCCCGTCGTCAAAGAGACAGCCAACCTCTCACTGCAGAGGTTCAATGAAGAGAGCCGCCTGGCCAACTACTTTACTCTGGAGAACATTACGAGAGCCAGTTCACAGGTCAAGAAAAATACCTATTAATCGAGTTATTTTTAATAACTGAGTGAGAAAGTATACATTTAGAAATCTTGACTAAACTACATCTAAAACGAGGCTTTTCCAAACGATTTTATATTCAACAAATACAAAAATATAACAACTCTTACTTTGGTAAGTAGTTAACAGGTGCGCAGTATTCTTACACATGTGCGTGTATACGTGTATGCATCATGTGTTTTGTGTGCTTTGCCAGTGGGTTGATGGTCCATCCTACTTTGTGGAGTTCACGATCCTAGAGACGGTGTGTTCAAAGACGGCAGATGCCAGTGAACCGAGCGACTGCCCACCTATGGACTGTCAGTTTGCTGTGAGTCACACACACACCATTGTTGAACCTTTTCATGCTTGCAAACAAGACGCCGCCATGTTGTAAATCCAGGCTCAACTGTTCTCGATTTCTGTTTCCGCTCAGCATAGAGGCTTCTGTTTGGGCTCACACGTGGCCCACGAGGACCAGTTTGAAATCAGACTGCCTGTCGGAAAGAAGGACAGCTCGTATCGGGACCGCAAGCCCGTAGATGTGAAGTGTGAGATCTACGAACCACAGGTACCTTCAGATCCGTTCCCCGACATTTCAAATGGGCATTATTAAAGACTGTATAGGTCAAGGGGAAAGACTTGCTTATACTATTGATGACCACTTAGAGAAATACCACCCAATTTTGCTGCTCCGCAGATAAAGTTTATGGTACAATATGGTCAGTCTCTCCACTCTCATCCATAGTTGCTTTCTCGTGTCTCTTCCCTTTTAGGCTGCCGCTGTGGAGGAGCAGGCCCACGCAAAAGCAGACGGTGAACACACTGGGCATCAGCATCACAACCACACACACCTGCACCCCCACGAGCACATGCACTCAGTCACACCCAGCACAGGCTTCGCTGTCTCCGTGCCTCGGGGAACCCTCGGGACCGTGGTGGACCGGCCTGCCCCTCTCCGGTCTGCCGCGGCGGCAAGCTCATGCCCCGGTCCGCACAGACACAAGCTGGGCTTGGACAGACTGAAGCTCTGATTGGCCGGAACCGGGACTGCTGATATACTGATCAGTTACTCAAGCTATTTCCTGCATGTTATAATTAGTTAAGAAAGACAACAAATTGTAACCCAGAAATCAAATATGGGAGGACAGTGAATAACCCTTGTAAATAATCTGAGTGTTTGATTAAAGGATTGATATGGTGAGAAGTTCATTTTTCACATAATGTGGGAATTATTTAGCAGTTTCTGCAAAAATATCTGAAAGGGATTTTGTCGGGACATTTAAAAAATTGAATTTGGTCTGCCTTAAATTACAACTGAATGGTTATTTGTTTAATGTGAGTTGAGGGGGAGCGGATGAGAAGGAACTTTGTGAGGCAAAGGTACAAAGATACTCTGATACTCATGAATAAATACGCTTAGACGTCATATAAAAAGACGACGTTTAATCTAGAGACAGGTGTCTGTACACCCAAACAGGAAAATAGCCGGGGAAAAAGACGGAACTCAGATTGTTCAAATTAGTTTGTTTCTTAAAAGATTTTCAAATTGACTTAACTTTCTGTACTTTGTATCTTGATAATATTAATTACTGTTAAATAGTAGTCTATTACAGTACAATGAAGCTGGCAAACACTTTGCTTGCTGTCTGGGTTATTCCATTTGTTTGTTCTTGTCCATAGACTGACTACGATATTTTAATGCATCAGAATATATGAGAGGTGAATTGTGTACATTGCAGGAGAAATTATTTTATTTGAATGTCGTTAATTTGAAGCGGGTTCCACTCAACCACTGAAGAACAGACAGTTATTCAGTTGTGGGCTAAATCATGTTCAACAAAAAGTTATTGGTACTCGCTTTGGTGTGAAATCATAATATATCATAGCATCAGTTATCATTTATTATCATCACAAATCTAAATATATTGTCACACTTTTACCACCCAGTGTAACTTCAATCAACGCTGCATGATAACACTGATGACGAAATAATTGTTCATTGGCTGTAACTATTTAAAATGTTTTTAGCTACATGCATATTTTTATATTTTTTGTGATTTAACTTGCAAACACAACATTATCCTTAAGTTGTTTAGGCTGTTGTTTGTTACTTCCCTTAGGTTGCCACTACCATAATGATAAGATTATTAGCCAAATCATTCGTAATTAAAACTCCCTTCACATGTTCATGCTGAACTATAAAATATCCTCCACTGAACAGAACGCTCACCTGGACGCTCAGATGGGATAATTACGTTTATGTCCAATGAGTAATTATCGCTTAACATAACATGGAAAAAAAGGAAACAACAATTACCCCTTTAAATTGTCTTTCACCACAGCCTGACTGCATTAAGCTGTCCACCACGCACCAGCAGATACCAAAGTAGCTCGCCGTGATCGTATAGTGGTTAGTACTCTGCGTTGTGGCCGCAGCAACCCCGGTTCGAATCCGGGTCACGGCACAGTTTTGTGATCCGTGACTTCTCCTGAAGCTCTTAAAAAGACAACATCTCCAGAGCTGTTGTTCTTAGAATGTATAAAAAATCAATCAATGGAACAGCAGACAAAAATAGACAAGTTTAAATCCAAACATTATAATGCTTATAAAACAACTTGCCATCACTTACAGATAATGGGCATTTTTATATTGGGGAAATAGTGTATGTTTTATTGCACTTTATTTAGTGCATTTGCTACCCAGCAATACATTTGGAAGTATACATTTAGCAGCATGTGGACCACCTACTACATAAGAAAATATGAAAGGTCCTATTCTGCAAACTATTTGTACCTTTTTTTGTTGTTAAAATGAATACAAAAGTTCTAAATGTAAATTGCAGTACTGCTAGTAATGGATTTGAATCATTTCCCCACCACTGAGGCCTGCAGTATTACAAGTCAATCACAGTGCATACAGGCTGCAGCTGCAGCATGACATCACAGTCACAGAGGCGTCTGCACAGAGCGTCATGTGACGATGGCAGTTGATTTAAAAAAAGCTGCATCAAACGTCTACAGATTTCAAAGCAACTCAACACAGAGAACAAAATGATCATGAATATATAGCATAAAGTATTTTAAGATATATTAAAAGACAAACAATTCTTTTTTACCAGGAAATGGAAACAAGAGAGTAATTCCCAAGGCCCTTAGAGTCTTCAGTTTACTTAAAAAAAAAAAAAAAGGCTTTGTAATTGCCGACACAGGGTGTTGGTCTAAAGCTAGCTGGAATACTTAAAATTGCAATAATTTCTAGTTTTCCACTTGTTTGTCCGACTGAATACGCAAGAACGGAAAACAACAGCAACAAGTTTCAGTGTTGTGTGCTGTTATTGTGCATGTGTCTCAATTGATCACTATGTGTGTGTGTGTGTGTGTGTGCAGACATCTCGTTGCACCTGTAGAGACTTTTCCTCTGGGCCATTACTGAAAATGAATCACACCTCTTGTCCCTTGATAGGTTTACTGCAGCGTGTTAGACACCGGACTGAGTCAAATAGGCTCGCAACAGGAGAGCATTGCTGTGATTTGTGGCGACAGTTTCATGGGCCCGTTAAGGGCGAAGCACACAATGTGCTCGGTATAGACTACGATAGAGTGTGAAAGAGCTCAGGAAGAAGAAGAAACCTATTGGACCTCAGTCTCCAGGAGAAGCTGGCTGAATACAGATTCATTTGCTCATTCATAAAAGAGTCCTCTCTGGCTGCCAAGCAACGAAGTGGCACCATTTGTACAGTCACACAACACGGAGCGCTCTAAGGAACTCGCCCACAAAGAAGCAGCAGCTCATAGTGTTGTTTTGTACTCTTGACTTTGTTCTATGAATGTGATAAATTAAAGGCCTATATGTGGCCACTTTCATCTGTTTCTAATGTGCAAATAAATATTTTGTATTAAATAACCATACGGCATGTATAGGTAAAATGATAAGACTTCATATGAGAAGATATATAGGTCATCAGTCCTACTTAAATTGTGTTTTCTGGTCTAAATAAAGTAATGCATAATGTGCAATACTCAGAGTTAGAGGTTAAATTATGAAATTGAGTGAATTTATTCAAATAACACAGATATGTGACCAACATTGTGCAGTCTCGCCTCATGCTGTTCAAGGAAACTGAATTTATATATATATATATATATATATATATATATATATATAACATCTGTTTTCACCTCTTGACTCTACTGTGTCAACCTGCAACAGAGAGTCACGATGTAAACATGTCGACGTGCGATATGTTTTATTATCGTTAACGGTCAAGGTGCAGAAAGCAGACAGAGTTGCGTTCACTTCCTGATATATTTTGTCCATGCTCGAGGCTTATGAAACTGTTTGACTCATAATAAATACTGCATACTTTCACCTCTGAAGGCTTGAAAAGATCAATTAAATGAAATAATTGGAGTAGGAACAAATCCCAGTGTAATGAAGTGCACAGCTCGTTTCCACACTAAAGCCATATAACATTTGATGAGGGAGTTCAATAGACATTATTTGACTTTCACTGAACTGGTTGCAGACTGCCTCATATTATGGTTTGTGCACTGTCCAACCTACACAGTGAACTGTGTCATATTTTAACTGCTGCTGTTTCTGAACTGCTAAGCAGGTTGTTCATTATTATGGGCATATTGACTTCTTCTCCAGATTGAAATATCCCAACATATTGAATCCATTCCCATAATATTTTGTGCACTCCCTGACTTTTTATCTAGTGAAGTGAAATGTCTCAACAACTATTTTGTCATGATATATAAGAGACATTCATTTCCACGTCAGGATGAAAAGTAATAAGCAGTGATTTTCCATCTATCATATAACTTGTTTTTTTGTTTATTACCAAATTCCCACAAAAACTAATGTCAGCCCTCTCAGCTGTACTTTGTGTTTACTGCTAATTAGGAAACGTCAGCGTGCCAACATGCTAAACTAAGAGGATGATGACTCTAGTAAATGTTACCTGCTAGAAATGAGGATCTGAGCCTTGTTATTGTGAACATTTAGCTCAAAAGCACCGCTGTGCCTATGTATATACGGCCTCACAGAGACGCTAGCATGCAGGCTGTAGGCTTAGCAGTTGACACACTTTTGGTCCATTTGTGCAGCATCTGCATTTTTGAATTTCCTTTAGTGCAAGTGTTGTCTGAATTTTCAAAATTGCTGAAACTGTTTGGCTGAAAAGTGAGTTTTTCTCATGATACTAACCTTCATTCATTTTCTATACATTTTGTTATAATATCATTGCAAGCCTAATTTAACCAAACATCTCTATGTAGGGATCTTCTTTTCCCCAAAAAATTGAAGCCATCCAAAGGAAGGCATTCAAATAAATGTCCCGTTTAACTCAGCTTTCCATTTGTTGCGTCGACGAACACAACAAAGAGCCATTCGACAGAGGTGCTGGCACATTCGTTAATTAACGCTGGGTTGTAAGAGCCTTGCATGTACGTGGATCACAGATTCGGTGGGCTCCATAAGTCTTTGCTTTGTGTATCAGAAGCAGATTACATCCGTAGTAATCTACCCCCCCGAGTGAGCTGCAATTTCCCAGTTCCGTTAATATCTCATGTTGTAACACAGCTCCGAGCACAATTACTGTAGAAATGTATTGTTGTCATCATTTGTTCCCTCTTTGTCTGTCTTCTTCACTGAAACTCTCCCAGGATAAGTGGATCTACTGCTCGCGTTGCCCCACATTCTTTGAAATCACCATTATTAATTCAGCTTAAGAGGCCCTCAAGATGTGTAAGGGTTCTGTGTGTGTGTGTGTGTGTGTGTGTGTGTGTGTGTGTGTGTGTGTGTGTGCATTGATGTGTGCATATGTGTGCACTTGCTGTTGCTATAGGCTGAGATAGATGCGAGAGAGAGAGAGAGAGAGGATGTGAGCTCCAGGGCTCCTGCTGACACACTGACCCAGCGCTGACTGGAGTTGGCACCAAGAAAGAAAACGAATGCTTCGTTTCACACTGAAACATGAGGCCAACGTGTTCGGATTAATCCACTCAAGAGGGCGAATTCCTTTTGAAAAGTTCAGTTTTTAGATGTGAAAAGTAGCAGCTTAGTGTGGATAGAGAAAAAGATTTTCAGACGTAGCCAGATTAGTGTAAAAAGAGTCTCAGGCTGTGTCGGAAATAACTCCCTTTTTACTGTCCTCCATTCTGTGTCTGAATTCTGTGTGTGTATCCTCTATATACAGTGCCCCAAAAAAATATCCCTCAATGCAATTTCGTATGTGTGAAAATGACAGTTGCTCGACTCTACAGCCATCAGTGATGACACAGAATCGACGAGGATATCTGCTCCACACCGAGTGATCTATTGAGCGTCCGTTGGGATTGTCTGTCCACAGACATCCTGTGCTAGCTTTAGCACAAGTCTGCGAGGCCTCACAAAGTCACTCTTGGTTATAAATGTGATATCTACAGTAGGTAGTGATCATAGCAGAGCTCAGCCACCCGAAACAATGAGAACATGTTGATTCTCTTTCCTGGGTTCATGTTTACATTGTTTCCCAGCAAACCCAACTGTGGGATTTCTCGAGGCCTAACAAATGGGTTTATAGCATTTATATCCTCATAAAACATTCCTATAATTGACTTTTAAGGCTTGCATTGTTTACATTGGATTACTTTGGCTAGCAGTATTATTCTGTCTTGTCAAAAACAAAAGCAGATGCCATCAGAATACTTGGTAAGATAAAAAAAAAATCGACTTTGAATGGTACCAATTAATACTTAAATACCTAAATTTGACACCTGTGAACATGAGCATTAAAACTGCAGCCATCCATTCATTTTCTAAACAATTTGTTCTGGAGCCTATCCCAGCATGCATTGGGCCAGAGGCGCAGTACACCATAAACAGGTCACCAATGTCCAATGGTCTAACACAGGTCACCTCAAGCAAATAGCATTTTACCAAAAGCCTCCCCTGAGGGCAAACGCATCATTACATCTGACTTGTCTAAAGCCTGTAACATGTAAAACATGTCTTGTGATTACTGGCATCGTGTAGAAATAAAGTCCTCCCTGGACTCCATGACACACCAGCAGGCCAAGGTCTTTTGTGAGTGTGCTCTTATGTGCTCACCCATTGTGTCCGTTCTCTGTGGAAAGAGTCTCCGGTATAGGAGTTATATTTTGCTGTGTTGCTGTGGGATCATGTTGCCTTTTGGCTTTTAAGTGGAACCGTGATGTTTTTTTGTGCACTGATCTCCAAAAGCTACTTCATGTAGGGAGCATATGCCTCGAAAGCCAAAAGCCCTAATCAACAGATCAGCATGTATTTGAAGTCCTGTCGGGGATTAGGTTGCTCTCTATCCTTTTAAAAGAGCCTTAAGAGCACATGGGGTACACACTGTGGTTGTATTCAGCAATAATTCCTCACGCAGGGACAGCAGCTGTTCTTGTCTGCCATTGAGATGTTGTGCTGTCATGAGGGCAAAGGTGGTCCTGACCTCGGGGACTTTTAAAGAAAAATACTGCGATTCAACAGTCATTATGGAGATATTCTTCGAAGTACTGCACATTCGAAGAAAGAGGCAATAATCAGCGTGTTGTGGGGCCTCAGCGTCAACATGATCTTGACAATGCTTAGTCATACAAAGCTCAGAGATTGCTTCTAATCATTCTGTTCAAAGCTGTATCATCTACGCGCTTTTCATAAAATGAACACAGTTGCTAAATGAGGAAATTCATTTCAATGAATTACGGTGCTGTTTAGGTTTTCATTAAACATGAGGGCAACATTTTGGTAGCCAGGCGCCAGTTTGGAACCCCATAACATCCAGTAAATCATCATCCTGCCACAGTAAAACCCCCTCAGGACACCATAAGCAGCAGTACTTTATATATTTCCAAAGAGGTGGTGAGAATGTGAATTACTGCTGCCCCACTTCCCCTTTCCCCCCCTTCCGGGATCGCCTTTAGGGGAGCGCTGCATGCATCTTTACTCCCAGGGTGACACAGATGGTTTGTGCATTATACAATATGACGACCGCATTAAACACGAACACAGCACTACTGCGTCTGCTGACCACATATCACCGGGCCTTATGGAACGCCTCTTGTACTGGAGAGGCTTTTATAGTCCTGAGCAGAATGTGTGGGAGGATGCTCAGTGTGAAGGATCATATTATCATTGTACATGTCTTGCATTGTGTTTAGGCTGACAATGTTTTTCCGTAACATTGTTCAGCATCTTAAATATGTTCTGATTCCTACTGATGCAATTATGAATCCGTGTTTTTAATGAGAGCAGTCGTGTGTGTGTGTGTGACAGAGTGTGTGCATGTGTGAGTATAAGTGAGTGTGCGTGCATCTCTGTGTCTGGCCACGGCTCATCTCGCATACTGCTACAATGAACTGCATGATATTGGGTGGCCGTGTTAGTGACTGCATGCTTGAGTACCATGAGCCACGAGTCATTCATAAAAATGTGTATAGAAGTCGAATATTGAATATATGTCCTTGATTTTTATCTGACAGCTTTTTAAAATGACATTTAGTCCTTTCAGTTTGTCCTGCATGATTGACTATTAAAGCAGCATGTTGTTCACTAATGATGAAACAATATAAAATTGAATTCAAAAAGAGAAGAAGTTAATCTAACTCAAATTTTTTGTATAATTGGATCACAAAATGGGGAGACAATATTTCTGCTTTGAAGTACCTTAAAAAGGCAAGATTCTGCCTTTGTGGCATATTTTATCCACTCTTTTCCATATGTTACAAGTAACGAATCATTCACAGAAACATATAAACTTTTTATTGAACAATTCAGTTTGTAAAATGTATTTGGCAGAGACAGAGCAATTGAAAGAAAGAAATCACAATTTCTCTCTCGGTGCTAGAAGATATGGCCACTAGTTGGTACCCTTGCTCTTTCTATTCTATACAGAGGCCGAGGTTTGTGAACACAACCCATCTGTAAAGCCATATTGAGAGTTTAATTCCTATAGGGTGTAAATTACCACTTCATCTTCCAGCCATGCATCTTTGAACATTTTCTTACAGGTGCTAGAGATGTGTATATAGGCTACAGTCGGCGCAACACCACTCCTTTGTTTGTGTGAGTGGCATTCAGGTTCTTCCCATGAGTGTGTGCGTGTTCGTGCGTCCAGCGCGTGTATTTTGCGTGTGCTTGTGTGTGTGTGTGTGTGTGTGTGTGGAGGGTCGGAGGGAAGAGAGGGGGCAGGTACCAGCCTCTGAGCCCCTCCTCCAGAGGAGCCACGGTGCGCCTCTGTTCCAATGGAAACAGGTGGGATCCCCGGACTCCTCCAATCACGCCCTCCCCTCTGCGGGGGGGGAGTCCAGGGGCAGGACGCAGAACCCAAACCAACTTCCACACGAGCCACAGGAAAAAGTCGGGAAACACATCTGTCCCCGCACGTCGCTGCTTCTTCTCGACCTGCGTGTGATTTGTTAAAGCTGTTACGGTGAACATTGGCAGCGGTGCACCGGAGCGCGCGCTGGGGGGAAGTATAGTTGCCGTCACTTGGCCGCTGTTGAGAGCGGTGTTGGAGCGTCGCAATGCTGGGACGGGTCGCTGCGATGGAGAACACGCACTAACCCGGATTTGGAAATTGTGTGTGTGTGTTTTTTTTTCTTTTCTTGGATTACTCCCCGGTTAAACCGACCCGGTTCGTTCTCCGGTGGATGTTCTCTTGGTTCCTTGCGGTAGCGTGGAGTAGCGAACACTTTGAAAATGCCTGCAAAAACCAAGTACAACCTCGTCGATGATGGGCATGATTTGAGGATCCCGTTGCACAACGAGGAAGCGTTCCAGCATGGGATCAACTTCGAGGCAAAGGTGAATTCACGAGACACCGAAGCATAGAAAGATGCATGGGTTCAAGTTGTACTCAAATGTAACGTAACACACTGTTTCTCGCGTGTCGTCCTCGTTAGCCAACCTGCGTAAACAGCCAACACTGTAACAGTTAACGTTACTACTCTGAAGGTATTACACTCTTTGACTTTCGTTTTACGCCAACGTTAGTAGAGAGGTTTAAGTTGCGCAGAGTTAAAAACAAAGATTACCTCAAGTGGAAACGTTTAAAAACAAATCAAGTGAATGCCAACTATTGTTTGGTTAACATCTCGTACCTGTCACATTTCTCCCTGACCAACAGTACATCGGCAGTCTGGATGTGACGCGGCCGAGCAGCCGAGTGGAGATCGTGGCCGCGATGAGAAGAATTCGGGTGAGTGGAACCGTGACCAAACTCCGTCTGGAAATCTGGCAATTTTTCCCGACATCCTCACTTATCACCTAATTTGCACGTTTGGTAGAACACAACATGGGTGTTACAAAATCACTGCTGTATTCGGCATAATGTATGGTTGACTTTACAGCAACTTTTATCAGGAAAGAGTCAACTTTTTGAATTGGTTTACTGTCCTCCTGATTAAGTTGTATGGTTAAATATGACTGAAGTGCTTCTGGTTTGGTTCCAAGAGAACCCCATAATTGTAAAAGTGTAAGCGTTGCTCTGGGGGGCAATTTTGCCCACTAGCCCTGATAGACAGCTGCATTATGGAATACATTATCGCATGCTAAGTGCATGAATTGATGCGTTGCCCCTTAACCACTGAAGCCCCAGAGAGTGGCACAAGAAATCACCAAAAAATGAGTCGTAAAGTGTTGTGAAACAGATGCGTGCACGCATCAACTGCAGTGTTATCATTCAGACATGGACGGTCTGAGTGCTATGAAAGCACCGTGGCATTTAAAACGTGCACACTTTGTACTGTCCCGGGCTTTGGCTGGTCTGGCACGAGGTTCGGTCCCCCCATGTGCTCCATCACTGTTGTGAAGTTCCCTTTGAAGCAATGCACTGGAGTGTGATCTCCCCTCCCTCTCTCTCTCTCTCTCTCTCTCTCTCTCTCTTTCTCTTTCTCTGTCTCTCTCTCTCTCTCTCTTTCTCTGTCTCTCTCTCTCTCTCTCTCTCTCGCTCTCTCTCGCTCTCTCTCTCTGCTGTGTAAACCTAAAGATTTACAGCCTTTTGGGCTCCAGAAAGTAGACTTAATCTTAATCAGTGTGTCTGTCAGCTTGGCAGCAGTTGGTTTAGCAACCTAACATAGGTGGTGGTGGTGGGTTATTTGAGGATTATGATGACGAGCTGGTGGACGTGCTGTGGATTAATCGACGATGCCTTCAAACCCTCACGCACACACAGCTACCCAGGCAACGCGAGCACACGCATTGTTTGTATTTTATTGCGTAATCATTTTAAAGAACAAGATTTTTTTTGAACTGACCATAAATTAGCAACAAAGCCAGTGGCAGGTCTGAGTGCAGTCTGCATCTGCGTAATGGTTACGTGTTTTATACTACTCTCCGATGCACAAGTGTTAACAGTTGAGCATAAGGTGCAAAATGTTCTTATTGCCCCTTTTTTTCAGAGGAGGGACCAGTTCCTATAAAGTGGACCTCCCAGTGTGCTGCCATGGCAGCTGCTGCTGTTGTTGTTGGCAGGAAAACAGGCTATGGTTTGACACTGGCCCAACACCATGGAAGGAAACCACAGGTATCTCTCTAGGAAGAGAGGTCACGCTGGAAAGCATGGGACGATAGGAGTATAGCGCTCAAAGCATTTATTGGACTTGGGTAGTAAGTCAGCCAATGCAACCTTAATTGAGTGTTGATTTATGGGAAAATCAAACCTTAACGGGGTGCATAGACTTGTTACGGCAAATGAACATTGATTGACTTGTTTGACAAGAATAGTAGCTGTTTTACATGTTAAAAGCAGGAACCGCCTTTGAGGTATCTTGTGATTATATAATATAAATAGCCATTTTAAAGAATGCAAGTTGAAGCCTCTTCCACATTGGCTTCACTTGTTTTCAATACTTGAATTTGACACACAAAACTAGCCATTTCTGTGGCATTACGACTACGACTAAGGACGTCAAAATCGCTCCAGTACTCTGCGGTGTCGCCATGATTCAATCATTACCGTTTCAGACTTCCTCTATGTGGTCCTATGTGAGTTGGGGGTTTAAACCTGAACTGCTGGATGTTTTTATTTCTGTGAAGTAGCTCCAGAAGGTGCTTGGGAAGTGATTGCTGACAAAGCACGGTAAGGGAACAGATCAGAGGCTTTTATTCTAATGAGCAGGAAAACAATGGCACTGTTGACTATTCATAGGGACACATAACCGCTTTTTTTATTTACATACTCAGTTTTTTTTTTTTTTTTTTTTTTTTTTAAATCTGCGATGATGAATAGAATGATTTAAACAGGCTTTCTACGCCTCAACTCACTTATTAGTCGCGACAAGAAATGGGTATAAGCTGTATGATTCAGAAAAGATGTTCCTTCATTTAGTCTATAAACATTTTGCCCGTCAGCGGCTGTAGCCACAGAAAGGGTTTGTTTTTAAAAACGCCTTCACTTTTGGCATAGTCAACCCTGACAGCGCTTCTGGCTGCATCTTGGCTTTCCATTCTCAAGGTTCTTCAGGGACATTGAAGCAAAGACAGACTCGACTAGTTCCCACTTTGCACTTTTATGTCACTTTTGATGCCCTGTGGAGTTTCTCAAAGAAGGTTTGGTAAAATGATGCCCCCCACCCCCACCCCCAAGTGTCTTGTCTTTTCCTATATTTCTATCAATCTTCTGTGTCTGCACAGTCAGTCAGCGCTATGCTGGTTACCAGGTAACCGGTTCATGTATGGTGTCATTGTTCCACGTGTGCGTGACTCACCTGTGAGCCAGTCGCTGATAACAAACTAATGACATGGCAAAGCAGGAAACAGCCACCTACGATATACATGCAGCGCTACAGGATCTGGTGTAGTTCGTATATGCACACACACACACACACACACTGTTGGTGTTTTGCATGTTGTTCTGGAACGACTACTCATCCCTGACTAGTTTATCACAGATGGAATAACATGGAAGTCTGTCAGAGTAATGTTGAAAATGCAAAACTTTATTGAAGCTGAAGCCGGCGATGTGTGGTGTTTCTGCACGATAAATGACATTGATGTTGAACTAATGAACAAAGTCGTTCGTTTATCTTTCTGCAAACTAATCGTTTGACGGACTCATTATTTCAGCTCCAGTTCTGCCGTTGCTCTGGTTTCGACTATAGAAGGATATACAAACCATCTCTTGTGGGTTGAATGAGTTTCAGATGGAGAGAACATCTGAGTCCAACACTGAGATGAACATGCTGTATGATGTCCTCATAAATTCAATGTATTCTCATTGTCTGGCAGAGTATGGTAGCAGCTTATCTGGTTAAAAGGAGAGGAGACCTTTACAGCGAATTAAAAGGATTCGTTTCTCATTAATCTGCCTTTGCTGGGTTATCTGACTGAAGGAAGATTGAGCAGCATGGGATGAGAAGATTAGAGATGTGTCTGAGGAGAAAGAGCAGAGCAGAGCAGAGTGGCGGGGGGGAAGAGGAGAAGAGAGAAATAGAGATGCTTTGTACATCCCTCCAGCTGCCACGACCTTTGTGTGTCCGCCCGGCAGCTAACAAGCCTCTTTTTAACACCAACGAACTGCTGTGGAAGTTCATTAATCTGGATTTCAGTCTCCCGTATCGACGTGTTTCATGAGCTGTAGATATTTACATACAGATAAAATAACTAACTGATACTGTTTTTGGATAATCCAATGAACTACGTACAATAAACTACGTAATTACGTACTTTATCATGACAGGTACGTACTTTATAAAATTCATGATTTTCAGCAGCTCATTTTTTTGTTAATTGATCGATTTATTGTTGTTTCAGCAGCATGTGTTATGAAGTACTTATACAGAGGCTTCTTCATCATGACAAAAATTAAATTGTTGCCAAACTGTGCCCGCATTGTACGGATCTATACAGTTTCACATGAACATGAATATGTGGTAATAGTTGCGGTGAGACGACACTATTACCTGTGAAAAGCTAAAGTAGACAACTCAGTGAAGGGATTACATGGTTGTTAGACGTCACATATTGTGCTCCATCTACTGTGTGCCCGGAAAAAAACATTTATTGTATATACACTCATAATGTAATGGCGGCTGTATTTATTTATGACCCGCCTCGGCATATTTCCCATCATGACTAATGGCTTTGTCTGGAATTCATACCGGCATCCGTTATTTATTTATAGGCCTTCACAAGGTTTGTTTTTTAATATAGAACCAGTGACTGACTTTTGGCAATAGTCTCGTATATATCCCTTTTTAATCAGGGGCAGCTGCAATTAACCTGCCGCAGTTTGACGGACGCAAACAGGATATAGAAGCCGTCCAATGAATCCTCCCGGATGAACACGCGTGCTTCTCTACAGAGATGTCTTGCGTTGAGAAAGACCTCCAAACTCTCTACGCTCAGCTGCTGATGAATGCAGCGCTTTTCTATTCCATTACTTTGTGACGATTGCATTTCATCTGCACACAGCTCTGTCATCATAAGGCCTCTTCATGACTATTCACCACAGCGAGGACATTAATGGGATGAAGGGATTTTTTTCAATAATGGACATTCATTCATCATTTTTTTTTAATTTTTTTTTTGCGGTGTGATCATGTGTTGCACGGTAACTAAAAAAGTTACAGCAGGAAAAATAAAAGCATCTTTGAAGAACCTAGAATGGATGTGAAACATCCATGGCCACGGTATACTGTATGTAGCTAAAAACCAAATGGGGTACGCAGTAGGGGTGGGGACTCACCAGAGGTCCCGCGATACGATATTATCACGATACTGCGATATTATCACGATACTGCGATATTCTGAGTATTGCGATAACATATATTGCGATTTATTACTTTTTTCAACTTCAAATTATGTCCCCAAAGGAAAACTGTGTCAACATGTTTTATCTAATAAGATAAAGTTTTCAGTCTGTTCATCTCACTTCAATCATTTTTATTGCAGCAAAATAGGATTGTCAAGCAGACAGACTGACAGTTATGCGCTGCACTCTCCCCATGAGCCTGGCT